TCGATGCGTAACAACCGGCCAGACATCGCATCCTGACGCGCTGGTTTATACGAACCTGGTTGAAGATTACATTTTTCATCTCGGCACGCTCAGCTATGCGAGTTCTCGCAAGCTGACATGCGGGAGCGAAAATTACATGACACACTGCTCCCGAAGGCACTGCGACACCGCTCCGTGCTGCTTTGCGTGCAGCCTTTAGAGCAGCATATGCTCCCATCCAGACGATGTCTTTTTAAGAAAAGGCCTTGCATATTTTAGCAAGCCAAAGCTAAACTGCATTCTGCATCTATGACAAAAGCAGTAGTAGAAGAGTTCGGGTGCTTAACTGGCCTTCTTACAGTCCAAACCTTTCACCAATTGAAAATATTTGGTGCATCAAAAAAGGAAAAATACGACAAAGAAGACCCAGAGAGCAGTTAGAATGCTATATCACCCAAGAATTGGACAACATTCCTCTCCCAAAACTCCAGCAACTGGTCTCCTCAGTTCCCAGTCATTTACAGAGTGTTGTTAAAAGAAGAGGGGATGCTACACTATGGTAAACATGGCCCTGTCCCAACTTTTTTCAGACGTCTTGCTGCCATCAATTTCAAAATTACTTAATTTTTTTTCTTAAAATGGTCCATTTTCTCAGTTTAAACATTTGATATGTTTTCTATTTTCGATTGTGAATACAATACGGGTTTATGAGATTTGCAAATCATTGCATTCTGTTTTTATGTAGATTTAACACAGCGTCCCAACTTTTTTTGAATTGAGGTTGTAGCATTAATACTTGTGCTTATTAAATAAAAGGATTAAAGCTGGACTGGAGTGCTGGTGATCTTCATTTTCTACAAGTTTACCATAATATGGAGCTCATAGCTAGGCAATATGAAGCCTGAACTGCTCTACTCAGCTTGCTTTCCTCATCACCTTTCACTGGGACCACCAGATAGCATATCATGAATGTTAAGCCAGTTACATAAGGCTGGGCATTTAGGTGTCTAACTTGTTTTTGACCTTTTCTGATCTCTTATTCCCTGTTCACACTTAGGTGTTTTGTCGCTCAAAGGTAAGTGTGTCAAAAAAGCTCAAGACAAGCAATCCCATTTGCTTGTCTTGAGCATGACAAAACGCTAAAAGGAATCCCATTAATTTCTATGGCCCCTGTTCACACCTTAGCCTTTTTGTCGCAAGCAGAAAAACTCCTGCCGGTGGAGAAAGTACATGAGCTACCTTTTGTCAGATTACAGCACTTTTTGATCCCAAAGACTTCAATGAGAAATGTTGTGCAAGAAAATGGTCTAGTGTGAACAGGGACCATAGAAATGATTGGGATTCCTTGTCTTGAGCATTTTGTCAAAGCAAAGCTTTGATCGACAAAATGCTTAGGTGTGAATGGAGCCTTACATGTTGATTGGTTGGGATATCCAGTTGCATGTTAAACATATGCATGCATGTGAGTGGTCAATGCATATAATTTTATTACCCACAATAGGATACACAGGTTTGAAGAGATCTATTTAAATCTAATTACAGGACATTGGTGAAAATCTATAAAGTATTCAAACATCTTGACATGGTTTCCTTGCCAAGGTGAAATATTTATAATCATAACCTGAAACCCAGCACTTTCGCAAAGTCTGTCTGTATCTTCTACAGATCCAAACCAGTCACTAGGATCCTATTTGGGTTTAACTTGTTAATGTAATTTCAGTAGTTGGTTTTAATCTTATTAAATCTGCAGCTTTCTTTATGCTGGTCTTTGCTCAGACTCTTCCTGTTACAGTGTGACAACTGTTTCACAAATGTGCTCTGTCATTGTCACCTTGTCACATGGACCCTGGTGGGGGAACCATGTGACAAGGTGTCCATGCCAACACACACTGCCCACAATAGATTGCCATTGTTACTGCCAGGAAGCCAGTCCAGAGGAATCATGTGTAGATGATGCTGGGGCAAGTGCATGTAGACAGGAAGTGGCCAAGGAGTTCAACAGCACTGTAAAAAAATAAAAATAAAAGATGATCGGAAAAGGTGAAACAGTATTTTAAGAAATATAGTAATAGTTATAGTAATTATAGTGAATGTGTGAATGTCATCTAGGGTTTAGATCTACTTTAAATTTATTATGCCAAATTACACGTCAGTGTGCATGGAACAGAAATGGGAAATTGTCCATTGCATCATGAGAACTTAGCTTCTCTCTAGGTTCAGACCTCTTCAGCTATGACATGTGCAGGGCTATTCACAAAAGGGTGAAGAGTTTGGAGAAGGCAGGAGAAGTGAACAATCTAGGACAACATAGCAGAACTGGCAAGTGACCTGAATTGGAGAAATTTTTCCAAATCAGCTATTTTGGCCTAGAGTGTTCACTTCTCCTGCCTTCTCCAAACTCTTCACCCTTTTGTGAATAACCCCCGTGGTGTACAAGTAATGGCCCCAGATCAATATAAACTTAAAATCCTGTGTGTCAACAGCAGTTATAGGCATGGGGTCCTTCTAAACAGTAAATATTTTAAGGAAGTGTTAACATTTTCCTTAAATGATTATGAAATTGTGTAGCTTAGCCATGGTACTTGGTAGAATTCTCCATAGGAAACTGTATGTATGTCAAGGTTTTCTGGTGGAAGGCACTGAGTGTGAGCTGGAAATATAATGTGGTTATATTGTTATATATTGCCTGGCTGTTGAAAGTTGAAAATGGAGAGTATGTATTTTGATCATTACTTGATGATCTTAGAGAATAATGAAGTGGAGGCATATTGATATGCAGGATCAAAAGTAGCAAATGATACAATCTAAAACAGATACACACATTTTTAAATGACGTTTCCCTAAACCACATCTCATAAATCCACTAATGACTACAAATAGGATCCATTACCCCATTTGGTGAACATTCCCTTTGGTGCATCATTCGAATAACTCCATTATTTAGGCATCTCAGATTGGAATTTCAATGTTTGTGCATTCTGGGGTTTAATTTAGAATCCAAACAATTAAAATGAATATCATATTTTGAAAGAGTTGCAATTCTGGCGAAAGATTAGTGTTAGACACATTTGAATTTGGTTTGAGTTGATTGGTGTTTACTGGTTGTAGCACCACTAAGGTATAATTTGTTGTGCTCTATCAGCTCAGGTAAGAGAATTCTGGGCACGAGTATAAATATATTTTTATGCTGGGACATTGGGAACATGAACAGCATTTAGTACTGCAAATCTGCATGCCATTTTCTAGGTTTGTGATTCCACTGCGTTTTCTTAGACCAGTGTTGCTCAACCTGTGGCCAGGGATCATGTCCTCTCTTGCTGGGTATTTATAGAACATTAGCTATAATTTTTTGTTCAGTATCTGGTAGTGGAAAGGACAATAATTCAGAATGTGCAACATTGTAGCATTTTACATACTTGTGGATATTTCATGTGGTGTACTTTGGACTGCTCATGGTGTCTGCTGGTTTTCAGATGCCTCACATTAGTGAAGATTCCCAGTGCCACTGGTTTCCCAATGGTACTGTACTGATATATAATTTTAACTGGAAGTAGGTTCCAAATCGGCTCATGTTAAAATAAACCCGAAACATTACTGAGCAGCACTAGAATAAATTAAACACCTCTCCGTGGAACCAGTCTATCTGGTTGCTTGCCACTGCCTAGAACATGAAGAAGTGCAGCTCTAAACTAAACAGTAGTTGTCAATATTAAAGTTACATTCCCTATTACAGGCCCCATGCATTTTAGGTTTGCATCTAGAGTTTTGTGTCCTGATTTATAATGCTCATCAAAAGATTTCTTGTGTAGCACAGCAAACTGTCTTAACAGTTTACAAGGCTTTTATATGACTGGAACAAAAGCAAAGATAAAGGGAGCCTATAACATGCCAACCTATAAGATATAAGATATTTAAAATTTTGAAAACACTGATAAGGTGGAAATTAAAGGAACTATTGATTTATGTTAAACATGTCATGTGAAGTGCATATACATAGGTTACAGCAAAACTACGGGGACATATTTTTTCGTAACCCTTGCAGTGGGGCTACCCCCACACTGCAAGGGTTAAGTGCTTCTTTTTGTCTAGGTTTAAAAACAATAAAGTTATACTCACCTGATCCTCCGAGCTGGCTTGCTCTTAGACCGGCCTCTTCTGCCTCGATCCCCCCCCCTGCTGCAGCAGTCCTGTGAGTCATCATGTTCTATACACTGTGTGCAGGATGTGAGGATGTCGAGGGACATACTGTACCATCACTGCAGCGAACTCAACCTGTGTTCTGCTTTGAGGAAGCTGTTTTATGTATCTGGGAGTTTGATTTTAATATTTTCTCTTCTAATCCCTTTAGCTTGACCAAGTTTATCAGTATAGAGAAGACAACTGTAGTGAACTGGTGTGTATGTTGGTTATTTGCTGACATAGTACTAAACAGTCTGTATGCAAAATTAAAGGATTCTCCTCCTCAGTTTCATCAGAATGAGAGTAGCAAGATCAGGAATCTACGTTAAGTAGAAAATTAAAGTTTAAATTCCATAATTCTTTTTCTTTCTTTCGAATATTCAATTAAAGATTTTATCACGTTGTGAAATCAGATACCTTTCCTTTCCAAAAAAAGGGAGGGAAGAGTAAACTATATAATTTTTCCTTATGTCGTTAATGAAAAATGAGCTGTCTGGCCTTGACACATTATTTAGGTTAGCCAATTATGTTTAGTCTTTTAAATGTTTATTTAGGCTATGATGAACAACACTGGCTTAATTCAATTACTCCATATTTTGTAACATTAGTTATAACCACCAAGTCTTAATCATTCTGTCATATGGCTATGGATTTAGCCTTCTGTCGTTTAGCAAAGGCAAAAGATGGTTTGACTTACATTCTTATTTTTTTATTTCTAAAGGTACAGAAATGGCCCACTCTCATTAGTTTTCCTATATGATACTTGAGAAGCTGTGTGAAAGATTCATTTTCTTTTCTCATCTGTCAGTTTCAAGTTTTTTGTGAGCATTTTTAACTGGACTGAGAAAAAATGGACAAAGAAGAAAGAAAATTTAGGAGATGGCCTTGTGTTAAAAAGTAAATCTTCTGTTGAAAAGCCACTAATCAAGGTGGTGGCGTGGAAAGAAGGAAGAGCACATGGACTTGTTATGGTTCCGTTCTGGGATAGAACTAATACTGTAGGAGAGAGGTAGCCTCAAACAGAAGACGATTCAAAAAAGAAGAAAGAATTGTCCGCTTTCTTGTTTTCCAAATTATGGAACTTTTGTGGAAGACGTTGACCTGGATATTGGGCCTTGTCATGGTTTCATCGGAATCTAACAGGGACCACAGACTCACCTATGGTTCTCAAGGTAGGGTTTTTCCTTTTAGACTTAACCAGTGAATCTTTGTTTTAATTTTCCTCATGAGTTTTTTTTAAAGACTCAAGATTTCCCCGGTTTATCACTTGTGTTACAGATACAAAATTAATTTTGTGTTAGTTATTTCATATCACCCAATATGTAAAAATCAAAGCTCTGGACATGTTTAGGACCCTTCCATCAAAACCTTTCTTAGATTTATACTATCACCTTTACATATCAGCAAATTTGTTCAGGTGCACTGTAAGCTCCTCCATTTGGCAAGGGTTAGATTGTGAGTAGAGAGCATTATTTTCATACATAATCCACTAGACAATCTTTCTGTATGTAACCTACATTTGAAAACTCAATGGAACATTATACAGTCCAAGGGTAAAGGGCATTAAGCCTATAATATGCTTTGCTATTTTATAAAAAGAGTCTGGTTAAAACTAAATGACCTGCAGAAGCTCGCACCAGCTCACAAATACTCCTATATGTCAGGCCATCTAAGATGTCCAGTTTGCCAGTTTGGGCTGGCTTCAGGTGTCTGAAAGGTACCCAGATTAATTGGTTAGCAGTAATGTAGCGCGATTTAACCATGTTGTACACTATTTTATGTAGGACTTTTCGTGGTTAATCTACCAAGCTATAAAGAACATATTTGGCTTTTATATAATAGTAGCAAGTCACAGAAGCAGTTTGCACAACTGATAGCCGAGACTTTTAATTTTAAAATCATAATTTTTCTGTTTACAATAAGAAGGCTAATAGAACCTTGCATAGAATATTGGCTGTTGTTATGGTCTAGTATGTACTACTCCCTGTTACTTTCCTTTTCCTTTGCATGGTCCCTTCATGGATTGGCCTGACTTACGTTTACAAAGGGGAGTTCCTGTCTTACCTTGAACACTACCAGCTGACGGTTCCTATAAGGGTTGACCACAATGGGGATTTTGTCAGTTTTACTGTGAAGAACGACAAACACTCACGGAGGAAGAGGAGTATGGACGCTAAAGATCAAGAGCAGGAAGTTTCTAAATTATTTTTTAAAATTTCTGCCTATGGCAAGCACTTTCACTTAAACCTGACTCTAAATACGGATCTGGTTTCCAAACACTTTACAGTAGAATATTGGGGGAAGAATGGGCCTGAGTTTAAGCACGATTTCATAGAGAACTGTCACTACACGGGATATTTACAGGACCAAAATACCACAACAAAAGTAGCTCTGAGCAACTGCAATGGCTTGGTATGTATTATTAGTCTTAAAGTCATTTTGTAGTGTTTGTGTTATTGTATAGTTTGTTTCTTTCTTAAAAAAAACAATGTAAATCTGATGCATTAAAATGGGAGAAAAGGTAAAGAACAAAAAGTAAACCCGTTGGCCATCACAACCACAGTTTACCTTTCATTTTAGAGGAAAATGTAAATAAATAATTGACTGGTCGCTATAGGGTAGAACTGCATTTTGGTTTTAGTTTTCTTTTCTCCAGTTTTAGTGAATCAGTTCCCATGCAATGAAAGTTGCTGATGTATTATTTTAAATATGGTATTCTTAATGAAAAATGGCATTTAAAGGCTTCAGGAAGGGCTGTTAATTTATTAACATAGATAGGTGTCATGCTTAAAGTCCGCCTGTGTCCAGGTTTATGGACATTAAAGTATTGACATATTCCTAGCAGTAAATGAGCTTTAAAACAAGCCATCCGTGACTATGAAGTAACTCATTCTAACGTTGGTTTCAGATGGTTTCTAACAGCTTGGAAAATCTGCTGTGTGTTTATGTTAAAGGTCTGGCAGGCTGCCAACATTCTGCTTTTCATAGAAAAAAGCTAACATTTCTGTGCCTGTGTTATTTAGTTTGTAGATTATTTTCTCTGCAGTGCTTTTATCTACAGAGGTAAATAAGGGATTGTTCTAATGTGCTTTTACTACTTGTTCAGAATATATTTAATACTTTAGTCTGCAAAGTCTGGTCACAGATTCAATTTAAAACATGTGAGAACAATTAGATTTGTCTGTCTTACTTGACATTGTTGATATTCTCACTCTTTGTTGCACTTTTCCAGTTCCTAATTGTTTTATGTTTTATTTTTGTAAAATGTTATTTATATACAAAAAAAATTAAAAGAAATCCCAGGATAGATATGTGGAAGCTGCCATTTCTAACTTGAAAAGGTGCATGATCCAGAACTGTTATTTTGACCCTTTCCGCGCTGTGCTGGAGCAATCACATGTATATCTCGTGTCTGGAGACCTGATGTTCCCATGCTTTCCCAGGTAAGTGATTTATCAAGTTGTCCAGCAGGGATGAGTATGACAGCTCTGGAGCCTGCATCTTCCACAACAAGCAATGGTAGGCCTGTCTCCTCTAATATGTATGAGATGATTGTCCCAATCTGCATCATAACAGTTGGAAAGGGAAACTAACTTTTGTGTATGGGTTATAGATGATCCAGTTGTATGGGTTATAGATGACCTGTGCAGACACTCTTGACCCAGTTGTTTCTGGAGTGAAGAATTGTTTAGCTTATTTCCCAAACCGATCACTATTGTCCCTTAGATATGAGACCAGCATCAGGACATATGTACAGAACGATCATATAGCAGTCAAATCTTTCATCCTTTATAGCAAGTTTTCTCTGTGTTTCTTCCAGGTATGTCAGATACCTGTGTACCAAGCTGCATGCTGTGGTTCTGCCCACCGGCCACTCTGTCACTACAGCTCTGCAGGGACATAATAGTGATGTAGCAACTGGCGGGTGGAAACACAATGCACAGCGGGAGACACTCCAGAAGTGTTAGATGCTGATTCTTCAGCTGGTATAGTTCTTTAAGAGAGTGATAGTATTATTAATCTTCTTTCAGAGGTTGTCTGTTAATTTTTTAAATACCTTCTCATAAACATGAATACACTGAATCCCAGCTTTGTGTGTTTATGAGTATAGAGGTGGTGGACAGCCCTTGGCATTGGCTTGGGTTGGTCGTAGCACTTTGCAGAAATTAATCAAAATAGCAAGTTCTATTTTCCTTGATTATAGTTAGACGGGAATGCATGTGCCAGATGGCACTGTCTACGCACATAACTATATTTGATATAACAATTGTTTCTATGAAAGAGTTGTATTTTTCAGACATCAATTGCACTTCAATGGGCTGTTTGATCAACCAAACTCAGCCAAGTTGATCTAAGATCCATTGATCATTTTTGTGTTATGGCAAGCATGAGTCATAAACATGGGGATTGCTTCCAATATAATTGGATCATTTCAAGAGCCTGGTTATCTTTACTAATACTAGCAAAAGTGTACCTGTTCCAGAATGGACAAGGTTGGATATATTCCAAATAATATGAAATACTTACTTTATTGGGTAACATACAAGAGAACGTTGTGGAAGCATATGACATTGGGTAGTTTGTGCAGGAGGGGAGTGCAGAGGGTATGACATAGGTAGTATGTACAAGGGAGGAGTGCAAAGGGATAACAAAGACTGATAAATGCAGGGGTGTTGAGGGTATGGTGGTGGACCGTATGTGCAGGACAGGAGGGTTTGAGGCTGGTGATATGTACAGGAGAGCATTGGGGAGTGTATAACCATAGGAAGCATGTGTGGATATTAACATCAGTTCTACTACCCAGTAATAATAGAAGCTAGTATGTGAGGGAGAGGAGTGGGAGGCATATGGCAGCAGTCAGCACACGGTTGAAAGGAGTGTGAAGGGCATGAGGATAAGCAGTATGTGCAGTTAGGAAAGGGTATAAAGGCAAGCAATATGTGCAAAAGGGGCTGGCATTGTGTGCAGAAGAGGAGTGGCATAGGGTAAGGGTGCGATGATAAGCAATATGTACAGTAAAGTGAAGGAGGGTACTGCAGTTTGTGCAGTAGAGTAATGCAGTGTATGATAGTGGGTAGTATGTGATGGAGAGGCCTGATGAGTGTATGGTGGTGGGCAGTATGTGATGGAGACAAGTGAAAATGGTATGATGGCAGACAGTACGTGCAGGAGTGAAGTGCTGAGGATATAATAGCAGCCAGTATTTGTAAGAGAGGAGTGCACAGTATGTACAGGAAAGGAGTGCGAAGAGTAAGACGGCGGGCAGCATGTGCAGTAGAGGAGTGTATTGCATATGACAGATCATAGTATGTGTATGGGGGCATGATGGCATGTAGTGGGCATGTTGAGAGTATGGTAGAGGTCAGTATATGAAGGACAGGAGTGCCAAGCATTTGATGGTGGTCAGTATCTACTGGAGAAGATTGCAGAACATATGATGGTGGGTAGTATCTTCCAAAGCTTTGGTTCAGAGAGTTACCGGTGAATCCCAGGAACATGATCCCCTTTTTTTTAAACCTGATTACATAGTATATAACTAATGCTAATTTCCAGCAGCTCAAGTGGGGGGTAAATACCAAGAAGATGCTACAAATAAGCATGAAGCGCCTTTTGTTCTCTTTTTTGGCCTGCTTTTTTATTACATCACTACTAATTGTATATTTTTGGCTGGTATGGGTCTTCTCCACACTAGTGAACATTTGCTCACTATTGGGGGGTGAGATGCTTATTGGGCAAAAGTAATCAAAATTCCATAAAGAGACAACTGCCTGTTTTTACAGCCCCTCAGCTGTACGTGTGAATTCAGCTCTAAGATCCCCTCCTGGTAGCAGTACTTCTCCCTTAGCAGCATGGTTTCTTCAGACCGAACATTTTAATTACAGAGTCAAGGTCAAGATTACCTTTTGGACCATGTCTAATGTTACCGCCATATTCATGGTGTAACATGAAACAAGGTCACATTGCAAACCCCTCCCCCCCCCCCCCCCCCCCCACTACCCACAGGCTGCTGCTGTTTTCTGAATTCGGCTCCGCCCACATAGACACGTCATTCATTCACAGATGCTTTGACGAATGGAGAAGTTATAAGTTCCATTAACCACCGTGTCAGAGGTTCTTCATCAAAATACAAGTGCGGTGACCTCACCACACTCCTTAAGTATATTCCTTCTTCCTCTGTCCATGTTACTGAATGTCCGTACCTCGGTACAGACATGGACAAGAGGTAGAATCTGATGGAGCCAGGGCATTGCACTCATGATCGATTGCAATGCTTTAATGGCTCCAATACAAAAAAATAGTAAATTCACATTTATTTTTTTCATAAAAAGAGTGTACTTGGCAGATGATGCATTGGTTCTCAGGAGCAAGAAATATATTTTTATTGTTCAGGCGGTGCTAAGTAGCATAAACAGGATGATTCACACAAAGACTGAGAGAGGAGGGGACCAGACCAGACATATAGAGAATTCTTTCTGGCAATCTCCTTAAAAATGAAATGGCCACATTTATCAATGGTGCGTGTTTTACCCACACTAAAAAAAAAACAAACATATTTGAGATGTACAGGTGAAACTCGAATAATTAGAATATCATGCAAAGTTCATTTATTTCACTAATGCAACTTAAAAGGTGAAACTAATATATGAGATAGACTCATTACATGCAAAGCAAGATAATTCAAGCCGTGATTTGTCATAATTGTGATGATTATGGCTTACAGCTCATGAAAACCCCAAGAACCCTAAATCCACAACCTCAAAAAAGTAGATTATTACATGCAATCAATAAAACAAGGATTGTACATAGAACAATATCGGACCTCTGAAAAGTACAAGCATGCATATGTACTCAGTACTTGGTTTGGGCCCCTTTTGCAGCACATACTGCAATTACTTTTGCATGATATTCTAATTATTCGAGCTTCACCTGTATAGTGCAAATTATAAAATCAAGAAAATAATAGGCTGCCAGTGTCCCTTTTACTAGGGATGCACCGAAATTTCGGGCACCGAAACATATTGACCAAAAATGTCACTTTTGGCAAAATGCCAAAAGTGACATATTGCGGTGCATCCATAGTTTCTCTCCTTCCTGCTGGGTGCCGCTTTGTGTCCCCTCTGACATAGCACAGCGTTTAGCAGGGAGGAGAGAAACTGTCAGAAACATTTATTATTACCCAGTTTTTGTGTAAAATATATTTTAAAATAAAATATAATAGATGGGGTCGGGTAAACAGACACCAAACATGTCAAGCCTTAAAATTGTGTGCGCCTGTTAAATCGCAAAAAACGACAATACCCAAAGCACATCAGTTTAGTGTTAACAGTGAATAATGGCCCTTGAATTATTAGTCGCACTCTGCCGTTCGTGGTGATATGTAACGTGTGGTGTGATTGTTGTTTTGCATGTGG